GGTTTGTTTTTTTTTTTTTAAACTCTCAGCTAGTGAGGATCCCAGTAGGATGGTTTGAGCTCCATCATTTAGGTCTTATTTCTCATAACAATGGTATACCACGTTATTTGGGAGACACATGTCTTCTATCCTGGGCTCTTATCGCTTCAGATCTCTCAAAATTGGATAAAGTCTATAGCAGTGTGAGTCATATTGAAAGATAAACCAGGTGCTACAGATTGCAACAGAAATTATTCTGTGAATGTTGAACCATTGTCTTATGAGGGAGCTAGAGGCTATTCTTTTAGCGGTCTTCTATACTGATGTGATACTTAATGGAGCTCTGCAGTTGCATAACAGGGATTTCGTTTGCACACTTAAGTAGACTGAATTACTAAAAGCCGGTTTTAGACACAGTATTACCACATTAGCAGTCTGGGCATGTCAGGACTCAGAACTAGCTTAGATAAAATCATGTTTAAGATCCTTATTTATTGAAGAGTAAACTCTCTTTAATAGGTTAAATCAGTTTGCCTTAGTTTGTAGTGGGAGTCTGTTCTTCAAATTTTCTTCTACAATGTTGGTTTGACTGCACTCTAGGAAGTGAGTCCACTTCAGTAGTAAGTGGGAAAAGTTGTTCATCAAGTAAGCTATTTGAGATATTTATCTCTTTACCTTCTCAGACCTTTTGGACAAGCTTTAAGGCCTCTCCTGGACTCCATCCAGATCCAGCCACCCGGAGGAAATACCTTCAGCAGACACAATGGACAGAGCTAACAGGAGTGACCAGTGTGCCCAGCCTCACCAGGCCTCTTCCTTTTTAAACATGAATCTACCAGATTTCTATTTTATAATTTCCCATCAGAATTAACTCTGCAAAAGTTATGAGACAAGATTTAAAATTTCCTAGGGAGAGGATTTATCGGGGTGCATGTAAGACAATGCTACCAAAAAGATTGCCATAATTTCTAATAGTGTTATACTAATTTATAAAGGCTGTCTTGTCTGAGTAGGCTGACACTTTCTAAGTAACTCCCGTGCTGGTATGTGGGAATTCGTTCCATGAGCATTCAAGGGCCCGTTACACAATTTGGAGTAAATAAGGGAATGTCCTAGCCATCCCTTGCAGGCTCGCATCTCTTTCTCCTGTCACTGCCTATATTTTGGGGGTATTTGCTGAAGTCTGTAGCAAAAAGTCAAAGGAAGTATTGGTAGCCTAGGAAGTGAAGGTGTCCTAGGACTAATCTTCTGCATACTTCATTGACATTATATTATTTACTCAGGGGAAACGCATCTGATTGGAGTATTTGCAGTGGCACAGCTGTGTGTGAAAGGTGATCAAGCTGAATTGTGTGTCAGTTTCACACTCAAAAGTTGAAACTTTGGATGGGACTAGCTGTGGGTGGGAGGGAGGCTGGAACCGAAGGTTACCAAGAGCCTTGTAATGCTGGATCCGAGAGTTACGGGAAAGAACCAGCTGAAAGAACAGAATTTCATGAGCAGAAGTGGTGGAAACAAATTTCAGGTGAAAGTTAAAATGAAGTGAAATGTTTCCTTTTCTCACATGTAAGCTTAGCAGCAGATAGACAGAACCTTGTTAACTATTTACTTTTGCATAAGAGCTGATTTTTTTTTTTTCTTTTTTCTTTTTTTTAACCAAGGCAGAGTTACAGTACAGGAAGGCAGAAATAGCATGGCAACTACACTGTAATATAAGGTGGACCAATTCTGCCTTCAATTTCTAGTTGCAGACACCGTTGGGGTTCCAGCTTTCTTTGATACTGCTGTCATTTCCAAAGCAGTCAGGCACATCACAGGGAGGGCTCTGCTTAAGTGTAAGAGAAATAGGTGGTAGGTCTCCTCGAATGTAAAGAAAGTGAGGAAGAGTAAAAGTAAGCTTTTCTTTGGAACAACTGAGTTTATTGGGCTACGTGCAGAAGCAGTCCTGTCGTTAGATTGACATTAGATTGTATCAATACACCATATTCTAGATTAAGATTCTTATAGCTTTGCAATTATTTGCAGTGGAAAAAGATCAGGGGAATGAAAGAATAGGCACACTGATTTCTTTTTCGTGCATGTATATACACTATTTTCCTGAACAATTTTGTAGCAGTTATATTTAGGAAGGAACACAAGACAGACATGGACAAACCCCAAAACATTGCTGATGCGCCATAAATGGGGATTGCACGTTCCAGATGCTTCTGAAAAAGCATCTATGCAAATTTATAACCCTTCGTCCAGTGCTTTGTTGTGAAAAGTATCTCTGCAAGTTCAGTCCTGCATCTCAAACTTCCTGCACTGGAAACTCCTTGCATACCTAAAGGAGATGTCTTTCCTCTGCTGGGCTCTTTCTCCCAGAATAATACAATTTGGTAAATTTCTCTCACTGTTGCTCAGCATGGACTATAATGGCTCATATTTTTGAGGGGGTGGAATGGAGGAAAACTGCAGTTTAGTCACTCTGTCAAATACTCTGTTGCCCCACACCAAGTGGAAATAGGGTACCGTCAGTCCATTTTGCAGTTTTGTGTGTACCTGCTCTCAGTGCACAGCTGTGGGCCTTGCAGCCTGATTTTTTTTTTTCTTGTCATTCTCTGCTTGTGCCATCAACTTCTCCTTAAGCATTTCATTTGATTGACTGAATTTAGAGACAACTGTAGCAGTTAGTACAGATCAGTTTATACAAAAGCTTTCAATCTTTCCCCATCGAAATGTCCTGTTTGCAGATAGCATTCTATAATAAATCATTTATGAATGCCTTTTGGTGCTCCTGGAGGAAGGATTGGTGTTTGTTTTCTGCTAAGCCATAGCTTAGTTTACCTGTTTGGTATGTATATCCTCTCCAGTCTTTTCCCATAGCCTATTTTGTGAAAAGTAACCAGTCTCTCATCTTAATAACACATGTGACTGTGCCACAAAATGCTGTAGCATCTTAGAGATCTTGGAGCTTCCTCAGTTGAACAGGTATACTCAAGCTGATACAGTGCAGCCCAACATCTAGGTATGTTTGGTACCTGCAAGCAGCACAGCTGTGGTTGCTTGTCTTTCAGCAAACTATCGCTTCAGATGCAGCTGCCTGCGGTGGAAGCACTGGTGCCACGGTTTCTGTCCCACACTCTCACACAATGAGGATATCGGCTGTATGTCCACCACTTTAGCAGTCCTGAGCCTGGTTTCTGCTTGGCTGCCTACTTCAGGACTTTTTGCATCCTCTCAGGAGGCAGGAAAGAGAAGGCAGATGTTTACCCTGTGCATTTTGCAATCTGCCTTTTCGCCTCCTGAGCAGCCCATTTGCAGAGATAATGCTGCTACTTTTAAGGTCACTGGGTAAAATTTTGCTCGGCCATATACTGTTTGCAATAGCCAAGGAGCTCACAGAGGGTCTCCTGGGCTCGGGGCCTACTCTGTGTTTCCTGGCAAAAGAACTGCAGGAAGGAATCCTGTTTGCTTGGTCTTACTGGGTATGGAGACCCCTGTAGACCTCTTAGGAACCCCATTTTCTCCAAACATGGTTATGTGTAAATTGCAGGACTGTGGCCCCAACATTCCACCCAGCCATACCTACTCATAGGAATATAAACTAGACTGAGAAGTATATGTAAGTGTATATAGGTGATGAACTTCAGCCAGCTGATTGACAAAGGGGCAGGGAAACTGAACTCCTGAAAGGGAACAGAACCCGTTTGCCCATACTTACTATTCTGTCTTGCATTGCTGGGGTTCCCCCCGTGCCATTTTAAAGGTGTTAATAATGTCTTTAGGCAGAAAGTGATGTTTTGATTTATTTGTGGGTTGGGTTTTTTTTCTATTACAATAAAAAGAAACACAGCAAGTTTGCCTGTTTGAATGTATGTGTCCACATAGATGTGCAGTGAATGCAACTGACCAGAAGTCGTCATCTTCACTCTGGTCCCAGCTGGAAAGTGCAAGAGGAGAAACGGTCCAAGCAGTTTGTTCCAAGTAGCGGTGGCTACTGCCCTTTGCTAGAACTGGTCACAGGCAATAGTCTTATTTAAGTCTGGGAAAATTTTCCTTCTGTAAGCACCATGATATCTTATCAAGACTGCGCTCCTGAGGCTTGACGCAGCTTGGGTGAGGTGAATGAGGGCTGGACAGTAGGTGTTCTGTCAGCACAGGTTTTGTGCAGCCCTTGCTCATCTTAAGTGTGCAAGAATGAAACGTCTGATGTCTGCTGTTGAAGAAGAGGCCCAACAGAGCGGAAACATAGGAAAAGGCTCTAAGCTTTTCCAGATTGTCTTGATGCTACCACTTTCAGAAGGAAAAAAGCAGCTTTAAGAAGTAGACTTTGTACCTGGGTGCCTCTGGAGCTGCAGAGGGGATATTGGCGAGGATTACATAGCACTGCCCATCACACCTCTGTGGGTGAGCTGTTAATGAACAGGGGAAATATCTGGTTCTGGGGAAGAAGTAAATTCTACGTGGTTCAGCCTTCTGAATGCTTAGTGATGGCATCCAAAGAAAAACCACACAGTTCGCTGTTTGTGTAACAGTCTGTATCAGTGTAATATAGAAGAGGGCTTGTAACAGAAGGGGCCTTTAACAAAGATTCACAATTGTGGTTATTTTGGGCTGTGTTATTCAGATGTGGTGCTGGTTTGCTATTGAGTACCAGTACTAACCCCACATAAAATACCTGGGAACATGTATAAAAGGAAAACCTTGACCTTGATGGGAGCCCTAGACAGAGCGTAAGCCAATGCTCTCAGCCACTTACCTTCTAAACTTCAAACAAAATATTTCCCCTTGCTGCTGGTAAGAGAGATTTTATTCATGATGACAGCTGCTGCCTACCCGAGCAGCAATCAAGAGAACGTATCAAGAGCGGCTTAAGTGCAAAGTATTAAATAACAGAAACAGGCACAGAGGCCCTGTTCTCAGAGCTAACCCAGATGAAGGAGCAAGCGCAGCTGTGCGCAGCCGTGCACTTCACCAAAAGGCAGACTCATACTCTTGGGGAAACCGAGATGGCACGAGTCCTCACTGACTGATACCGAATGTCAGTCGGGGTGCTGCGAGAGGTGTTTCGACGTGAATAGAATTTCAAAAGCAGCGTGATAAATAAGCTGGAGAAAGCACAGCAGGTAGTTCAAGTTTGGGAAAGCTCTCCTGGTAGCATAAACCCGATGGCACTGTAGGAATGCAAAAATGTGGACACTGAGCCGTATTTTAGCAGCCTTCCCAATTCTGGAAAGTGCCCCGAGGTGGCACTGCTGCCTTGCAGTGCAGGGATGCACCTGAGCCGGGGGAGAGCCGCTCCTGCTTTTGGGATGTCCAGAGTAATGTCAATGCAAGAGGCAAGGGGGAAGGTCTCTCCCAGACAAGAAAGCTGCAGGTAGGAGCAGCCAGGAGATGAGACCATAAGGCAGCTTGGGCTGCGGCAAGAACCGAGTGCCACTACAGGGCTGCAACAGGAGTGAGCCAGCAGGTTTTTCCTAACACCAAGCCTCCTCCATCCAGACGTGGGAAGTCTCATCCTTGTACCGTGTCGTGGCTTATGAAAAATAAAGTCTTGCATTCCTGAACCCCCAGGAGTTCACCATGTATCTGACCCCACAGCTGTCTTTTGATAGTCCTGGGCTCATGGCCCTGCTGCATGGGAGAGCATCTCTTTGGCTTCTGGTAGTTGAGCAACCCAAATCCCTGAAGGCATCTCTATTCACTCTTCAGCATACCATGGTAGACACGCTTCTGTAGTATTCATATTCCGGAGGACACATCCACACATTAACTGCTGAGGGATATATGCAATCACACCTAGACAAGCCCTATAAATGGGCATAACCCTAAACTGAACTAAAAATCAGCACCCAATTGCATAGTAAGCAGTTGGGTGCTGAGAAACCGTTCCAGGAGCTTCAATGTATCCGAGAAAAGACTCCAGCTTTCCAGAGGTGGGAGCTCATAACCAGGCTCTGATCCAGAAGGCCCCAGAGGCTTTTATTTTGTGGGAACATCACTACCAGGACAAATACCACTTGTGATACCCATCCAAGACCGCCCGACTCACCGCGTTAGGACGCAACTCACAGAAACAGCATGGAAATAGCTGTCCTGGTGACATTAACTGGTGGACACCATGAATGTCCCCCTCCCCCCGGGGCAAGCAGCTGAGGATGTTTTGCTAAACCTCATCCAAGGCAATGGCACAGGGGTAAATTATTAACGTTGTTCCTGTACACACACGCACACACGGCCCTTTCATTGAGTGGGGGAGCAGGAAAATCAAAACCGTGAGCAAACCCCCCCAGAACCTGCGAAACCCCCCGAACGCTGGAACCTGGTGGAAAACTGGGAAAAGGGGGTTTGCACGACGTCCTGGAAGGCAAATAATTTGCCAGAGAAAACTCAGGGGGGGGCCGCACCGAACGTGCGGCGGCTGCCCGGGGGAGGGCGGCGCGGCCGTCGCCATCGCCTCCTC